AACAATCACGTTTTAAAGCGGCGCAACCCTTCGTTGACGATCCAATACACAACAAACGCAACTAACAAATGCATTTCCTATTAATAGTTTAGTCTGGCGCTGGTCGAAACGCACATTGTCGATGTTCGAAATTTGCATGCGCATATTGTTCGATTGTTTCAACCACAAAAATTGCGTTTGACTTGTTTTTCCGCAAGCTGGACAACCGGTAAAACTATGAACATGTTCCCAGAACAATGAGAAACTATTGGATATATTAATTATAGTCGAAACTCGGAACTCATAATAACAATTTTGTATTCGCGGAATTAAGCGATAAATTTAATTTAGTGCTGTGTAAATTCAACAACGCAACAACGCTGATTTGCTGCGTGTGCGCGTCATGCTGCAAACCATGGAAAATTTAATTCAGGAAGTAATAATGGATAGAAAATTTCATTACACCGGCAAACGTTGCCGGCCTGCAACAACTCACATTTTAAATATTCCATTGGAAAATCAAGTTGAAAATTTTATTTTTCGTTAAAATTTATTAAGTGCGCAAAAAACTATTGTGTATACTTTTGATTTCGCTACGTGATGTAATATAATCGTAATTCTAGCCCAAAATAACGTGGGCGTTATATTTGCAGCGTATTATCTTCGCAGTGGGCGTGTGTGCCACTGTTGAAATCTCGTTTAATCCACGGATTTCGCCGTACGTAATGAAGGTTTGTGCCGTATAGCCGTAAACGAAGCTCTCGTCCCTTTTTTAATTTAATAAGTCGTTCGAGACTTGTTCGTTCTTTCGGTGTGTGCGCGCGCGGAGTCGTATCGCGAATTAAAGTCGACGAAGAAGAATGTCTGATAATGAACGTGCGTGCGCGCCCCCAAACGGTCCATTAAAGTTGTACGATATATTTTAAGTTGTTGCGAACGGCGAAAATAGCTTCGCGTAGTTAGTAGCACAGTAGCAATATTTACAGCGGGCGGCGTAATAAATCAGCGTAGTTTTCGTTCGCCTTGTGCGCCTCGCGGGATATTCGAAACCCGACGATCGCAACTGATAGCGCGCACCAGCGCATGATATGTGTTTAGAAAGCAATTTAATGCGCTTGCTTTTTAATGCCGAAACTGGCGAAACACGCGCGCGCGTGCCTAAAAAGGTTGCGCATAAAATCTTTAATTCACCCGGCAGCGAATTTAACATTGCGATATTCATTTCGAAATTACTGACCGCAATAAACTCGCAACAATAAAAGTTAAACGCTTGTCTGCCGACATTTCGAAGTTATGCCTATTAAAATGGCGCATGGTAATATACCAAGTACGGCACGTACGCGACACTAATCAACCCTTTCTGCCATCGATTTATTGTTGTACACCTGCCTGGAATGGGCATGAAATGTGTACGCAACGTGCTTTTAAACTTTGGCGTATGTATCGCTGGCAATAAAGCAACTAGGCAACCAACCTCACACTCAAGGTCCAGGTAGGGTTATATTTTGTTTGACTAACCTTGGTCGCCCCGCCCGGAGATAGTGTGGGGCGGCACTTGCAACGCATATTAAGCACAAAATTCGCCATATTAACAGCTCGTATTATGCGCGCCCATTAAATGCTTTATTGCCGCATAAATGGGAAATTAAGCGCTCTGCGCCCGCACAGGCCCGGTTCGACGCGCGTTGTTAATTAACCATCAAATCAATTTTATTCATACTTTCGGTAGTTGGTGGCAGCGGCGCCTGGCGGCGACGGGGCTAGCCTTCCGACTATTACCCAATTACGAGCACATTAATGCACGTTTATGCAGCCGGTTATGGACTCTCGGCGCGCACAATCGCATTTGTTACGGAAAGTCATCGTTAACACGTCTTTTTCCACCCCGTCGTATCTTGCCCTGCACGTAAATCTTTACGGGAACTATCAAACTGCAAACTAATTTATATTATTCCACAATTTTGCCGCAAGTTTGGCTGTTACATTATCTTAAATTACCTTCCACTAAAATGAACATTTACAATCACATATTTTATAATAACACATGTCTATTTACAATCTGCAACACATTAGTGCAATGTTGACATTCCATTAGCGGTTTTAATTAGGTTACTAGAAATTATGAATATGGCATTAAAGCTACATTAACGCATAAATTTTGAACAAAATTTCGCATCGCTGTGAATGTAGATTTCTACTGGATGAATAGTTGAAGGAAGTTTTTCGCGTTATTAATTCTACGCTAATATCAATTAATCCGATAGATAAATGCCGCTTTACTAATTTTGAGCCGCTTGCAACTGGATGGTTACCTAGAGCATGTCCCGGTGGGACCGGCTTGATGCGCCCCGGAGAATATGCGAGCGTCGCGACGCCGTGTGTGGCGAGCAGCGAGCTGCCAAAGAGATTTGCAACAGCCATCCAACTCCGGACGCGCTCGCCCGCGCAATAAAAACACCGCTTAAGCCGGTTTAATCCGCAGCGACTCGCACGATTTCACAGTAAACCAGCGTCTCTCACTAACGCTGGACGCTTTACCGCGCGCGCACTTAGCTCCGAGGGAAATTCAACTAAAATTGCAACTACAGTTCCGACATTACTTTGACCAGTCTAGCTACACACTCACACTAGCACACAGGAGCAGAAGGGGTGTATTACGAAAGCGCGCCGGTGGGAATTAAAGGAGTGTAAAGTAATTGTATGGACGAAGAAATCCAATTTGAGCGTGGACGTCATTCTTGCTTGCTGGCATGCTTTGGCATGCCAGAGTTTGGTTAAATCACGTTTTTATTTTTTAACTTGTACACATGCTGTGTTTTTAAATGGTGGAGAAATTAGGCAGCAGAGACATCATAGAATGGAACAGAGTAAAAGACTGAAAGCGGACTAAATAGTTAATTATTTTTTGAAAGATTTCCTTTTGAGAGTTTCGTGTAATCTACATTTTGTTTGAGCTCATATTTTGTACTTTAAATAGCATTACTCTGCACAACTTGTGCTTCTGCTTCTGCCAGAAGTAACAAGTTAAAAAGTTATGACTGAGATACTCGGCTACACGGCAAGGCACTTATGAGACACGACAAACTAGCTGCAAAGACTGCAAGTTTTCCAAACTAAAAGTCAACAAAAACGTAAACGCCCCGCAGCATTAAATTCATTGGAATCGACTTCTTATTCAGGCATAGTTTTTTTTTTATGTTGTTTATTAAGTTTTCAACTTGGCGTAGGTACTTTAACTCGAAACGCAAATACTTGTGTGATTTTTGTTGGGAACTTTCCGAGATTGCTTTTAATGCAGATGTGATGCATTTCGATGATTGCTCTAGGTCGTCTACGAGCTAAAAAAATAATATCAAATTAGGCCTGGGGGTTGGCTTTCCCCTTAGGGCAGGTTTCCGTGCAATTGAACCGAGCTCCCGCTCGCACTTGTCAGATGTAGAAAATCGCGCCGCGCGCGCATTGCGAACACAAGAAAACTCTAGTTTATTGTCCGACGAGGGCAATAATTCAGTCTGGACGTGCGCGCGGCGTGCGAGCTCACGTGACTATGCAACCAACTAACCAGCGGTAGCGCTGACCTAAGCTCCCGTAGATGCCGCGCCGGACATGAAGCCAAAGCTCTCGCTCTCCTCCCGCACACGATATGTATGGACGCTTGATGTATTTATAGCATCAATCCCTGCTTACCGACGCGGTGCAGCTGGCGGGCCACGGCTACTTAGCTTTAATTAATTTTAATGAACGCCGGCGCCGCCTGAGTCAAGTGTATTCATGAACAGTGGCACAACAAAGAGACAACAATATTTTATAATACAACCTAGACGTCTAACGTAAATCTATTGTGTATTTAGTAACTCAATCAAGCTGCGCGCGTTGCTCATATTATAAGTCAACATTGTCAATCATGTTCGGAGATTAATTTTCAGCTGGTGCAGAGAGTAAGAGAAATACGAGTCCATTATCCAAATCGCTTCAAATGTGGAGCGTCGTTTGCATAATTTAAAACGGTGTTTACGTTCATTATCAGCGCAAATAGCCGCAAGTTGTACGGTAAATTAATCAGAAACGCATTATTGCAAACACGGCGCAAAATCGCGCATCTATTGTACCTACCATTGCAATTGAAGTGCTGCTCGTTTATAATGGAACCAATTAAATCTAAGATTTTACTGGGTAATTGTTTGCTTTCCCGCAATTCATTCATAAAGTGGCGAAAGTTGGTGTTTTATTGGACGCCAAGACAATTAAATGAATTATTTATTGAATTATTTATACATTAGCTGATTCCCGAGACTTTGTACTCGTAGATTATAGTAAAAAGTAGTCTTATTTACTATTTTAAGGTTTCTTGGACTTATTATTAAATTATATTTTTGTAAATATAGCTTACAACCTATTCCAAGGTCAAAACTATCGTCATTCCAAAATTTATTAAATTTGGTTCAGAAGTTTTCGCGTGAAAGTGTCACAAACAAACAAATTCACATTTATAAGCATAAATACTTAACAATTAGATGAAAACTCTTTAAAAGCTTGTTCACAAGCACTTCTATTAAGTTACTAGCATATAGGTAGTACATATAGACATAAAATATTTTCGTTCGATGTAGTTCCGGTTGCCGGACAAGAGACAACTTCTCCCCTGTGGCGTTAGCACTACTTATTTGCTTTTCAATAAATCAACTGCATACGCCCAACACGAACAGAGTTCGCTCGCCATATATCAATTGGTTTGTTTGAGGATTCGTTGTCTTGTTGTCTCGCTGTGCGTGGCAAGTTATTCACTGGATGCAGGTACGAATTTCCCCAAGGACGGCCGACATATAAAGCAAATAGTAAAGATACAGGCTGGTGTTTGACCGCACTGTCGAAGAATTCAAAACTGTGTAGCATCCTGTGTGGTGTGTGTTTCATCTGGGAATTGAATACATTTTGCGCTCCACTTGCCCACTTTTGCGGTTTGAACAAAGCCACGAGTTTATTGTCCTGAATTATAACTAAAATTTATTTATTTATTCCAGGATGGAGCGGCTTGCGGCGCTTGCCCAAATCGTCGACATAAAAAAGGTAAATATTTATCGATTACAGCTTTTAACACGGATCTCGGTTTGTTTGCGGGTCAATTGCTGGAAATTTAGGCCATATGGAATTATCCGCGGAGTCATCAAAACCCTTCCCATGCGATACTCGTCCGCGGTGTTTAATGAATAAACAGAAATAAATTAAGTACGCGCCCTTTTCCCTCTCCCCGATGGACCAATTATACAATTGCCTATCGTTGCACGTAACCTATATTGAGCGCGGCAACCCGCAGTACGTGTAGAGTGGTGAATGCGTGCATGCATGGTTGCGTAGAGTAGTTATAACGAACGCGGTCGGCGGTAGATTTTCGAGGATGAGTCGAAATATCAGTTAACTGTCAATAACTAATTGTACTGCCGGCGCGCCAGCCGGATGGAGTATTATAAACGCATTATGCGATCGTAAATCGCGATTAACCGTTGCGTGCGCACTGAAAATCCACGCCGGCCCGCCTGCGTCGCGACGCATAATAAATGTATGAAGCCGCAAATCGTAAAATCGCAGATCGGAACATGCACCGTAACGAGAAACGCAACTCACATTTTGAATGAGGCTGCTAGTGAAACGTTGGCGGCGTATCGGCATACCGCACCGCACTGCACACAGTGACCAGTTTTAATTAATTGATTACATTCTGTACTTATCATAAATTATACGACGTAGGAGGAGAAACGGAATGTGTCGATGCTATGTTACGCTTGTTCGGTGCGTGCGTCGATGAGCAAAACTAAATTTCTATTTCGAATACCGACTTTGGTTCAGAATGAAATGCAACTGACAAACGAATGCATTACGTGTTATTCTGCGTTTCATTTGGTTCGCCGCAAATTATTTGTTGGCAAACCAGATTTGACACATTTCGGCGTCAATAGAATATGCAACATAAATCATTCATTATCCAATTTCTGAGCGCATATCCATGCGGAATAAAAATATTTGTTTTAATTAAATGAATATTGTAGGTTTGCGCAACGAATTGTTTGTTGGATGACATTTTTGCACATCAATCCCACCGGAAAATATTCATGGCGAATAAAAAGTTTAATAATTCCGAACGAATTGATATTTTTCGGGATTAATCTGAAAATATGTTTCGTAATTCTCCAGCTGCTAAACAACAGTTGGTAATATTAAAAAAAAAGTACCACGCGCGGTGGTTGAATTACGAGTGCGATTTTGACTTAAAGATGAAATAAATATTATATGATCGTAAAAAGTTAACTACCCCCTGGCGCAATTCGCCCCGCAACAAAGCGGCGCGTGGTCGTTCGGTGGTTCGGCGGCGCTTGGAGCAATTCCCATCCTGCGGTTTTTTTTCGCTCCTGCCTTCCGCGCGCAACCACGACCGTAAAGTGGCCGTAAAATGCTAAAACGAGTGCCGCAACACACAATCCGCTATGCATAACATTGCAATTTTAATTCGCGACATAATTGTTTACGATCGTCATCATGTCCCACCGCCAGACATTGTGTCATTGCGCGGTGGCGGGCGACATATTTTTCGATAAAAACTTTTTCATTTCGGGAATAAGAGTCAAAGTTTATGAACTTCATAAATTATGAATGCCAATCTCGATTATTTACGAAACAGAAATATAAAGCCTAATATTATCATTGTTTTTCGTAATAAACTAGCTTTTGTCCACGAATTCGCCCGGGTATTTTTTAGTTAAAATTCAATTTTAATTTAAACAATATATTTATATGTATTAAATATAATTTAATACTTTACTTTATAGAGAATTTTCCGTAGATTAAGAATGTTCAATCCGTTCAACTCTATCGTTTTTAATTTACGAGATATCCGCAATATCGAAATATCGAATTCAAAAATATACGAATAATAACAATACAATTTAAATTATAATTCCCGAAACCACCTCTAGGTGGCCATTGTGTACTACTTTTGTATTAAAATGATTAAAATAAAACGCATGTATACAAATCTATCGCTCACAGATAAAATGCATGTCATATCACTTGTTAAAAGTCAAATCACTGATATCTACATGTTACTACAATTTCATTCCTATTTCACCAACTCGTAAATATTACACCAGCGCAAAACTGAATATTTAGCGGGTTGTTTTCGCGCCCAGGCAAAACATCTTTTGTTTACGCAATCAGAAGACTGAATTAAATGCGCCGACGACTTGTATATACGCCCGTATGAATATTACATTGGGAGGCGCGTTTATAAATTTCAACGAGCTGCTTGCTCTCGTCTCGTCGAGTGTGCCAGCAGAGTGTGCGCTCGTGCACATTATGGAACATTATAACTGACTCGTCGAGTACGCGAAATGTCCGTTTACAATCCAAACAATAATATTTGTTAGCGATTAGCTGGGTGCTTATTTCGGCGTGCTATGTAGTTATATATTGTTTATTGTTGCAGCTATCTATTGCCAATCAATAGATAGCTCTGGGGGTGGTGATATTCGGGATGTATTCAATATCCCACCTAGACATAATCAGTTTGATAGGTCCGGAAATCGGGGCTTTCAAAATTAATTGTAGGGTAAAATTTTAAATCAAATTTTTATTTTTAGAGAAAAGATTTACCTTGTAAAATAGTCAAATTAATTTTGAGTAATTTTGTTTTTGATTATTATGATAATTGACATTTTCTACTTCAATTATTCCAGAAATAGAATTTGTGAATGCTTAAATGAACACCTTTTCATGTGTGTTTAATAATAATAATAGAATAATGTATAATCCTAAATGCATTTGTTCACATCTGCCTCACTCGTCCAATAATTTATTAATATCTTAAATTAATATCCAGCAACACGGCGGTATGTGAAATGCGCGCATTGAAACTCCATCATCGGTTGGCTACGGCTCGCCGGCGTCGATAAAGAAGAAGCGTTCAATCAAATTGTAGATATAACAAAATTACCAGTCTAATGCGCTTATGCGATGTAATTTATAACAATAACCTAATGGAGCATTTATGAAAACGCGATGCGCTCGAGTTTCCCTCCACCTCGTATGCGGTAAACAAACATCGAGAAGTAATGAGCGGATGAGGAATAGAAAGTGTGGAAAGATCGGCGATTGCAATTCGTTGCACACACTCCGCATACAAACTCTTTTCAATGCATCGATGTGGTTAATGTGTCTATCTGATTAAAATGCGAGCGGCGTATGCGAAGCGTACGGAAATGATTAAGCAGGAAAAAAGTGTGAAGAACGGGGAGTAAAAAAAGCAACGAACGGGCGTAGTAGTAAACAACGCGGTGCTCTGCGCTGCGGCGGCGTTTGGTGTGAGTTTTCCGCGTTTTTCAGTGTGTTTTCATTCCGGCCGGTCTGAATATTCATCGAGATGGAAAAATAGCCAACGAGTGCATTGCAAATATGTGTGTACAAGGGCGACAATAATATTGTTCGACACGTTTGTACAGTGCGCGCGCTTGCATTTTTAAACCGCTTTAGCAACAAAATCATTTGTTTTAGGAGAGTCAAAACATTTACATGCGTTCCGTGCTTCAAAATTTCATCAAGTAAACATTTAAACACTTTTCTTTTGTAGTGTGTTCCTAGCGACTTGTGTTGCAAAATAATTAATGTTTTTAACGCCCCATGATCGCAAAAAATTAAATTTTGGATGAATAGTTTTATAGATATTTGTCAATCCTTTAGTACTTATATAATCGATGACATAAAAGCAATATTTTTTGTTTTCTTTGCTTTGTATGGTTCTAACCCGTGAAAATTCACACAAAAGTGTTATCGCCGTATTTTCGTTAGTTTTCAGTTTACTTTGCGTGTAAAAACAAAGGAGCTCTCTTTGGTAAACACGATCCAGCTGCAGCTGTGCGAGCTTTTGCAGAAAAATGAAAAATTCTCAGCATTGCGACGCCGCCGCAAACTGCACCGCACAAGTCCTATTCGTTTACGAAAAAATCTCCCACGTTTGCGCTGCAGTTTGTCTTGATATATTAATAAAATAAGATCAAAATAAAACCGCCATCCGAGAATTTACTCGGCGAATGTTAACTAATACCTTTCTGCGTTCAAAAGAAAGTAATGATGGATCGATAGCTTTTAATATTTAATCCGGCTTTGAAAGTTTTTTTCTGCTTCTTTTGTTTTTACGCTGGCTAGGTTCATTAGCAATAGTATTAATAGGATGTATACGTTCATTTACTTTTTTCGCGTTGCTAACAAAGCTAAATGCAGTATACAATGCAGCTGAATAATATCACAGCTGTAAAATGTACATTTTATATGACGTGGCATATGTAAATTTACATTTTGCGTACGTATTTCAATAAATAATTGTTTATTGTTTTCGTGCGAAACAAAAATGGTTGTGATTGGTGTGTGACAGTTGCTAATGGAATTGTGAGGTTAAATCAAATCTAGGTTATGCGCGTATTAAGATGTTTCGCTTGTAGCAATAAGATTTTCGTCGCAATCGCGCCGGCGCTCTCATAAGCCGCTTAATTTTAATTGCAAATTTTGATGATACATAATACAATTCGCGCGTTCGGTTTTCGGAAAGCGAGTTGCCACCTATAACAAAATGTGCTGAATCCGCTGCGTAGAATCGCCACGCATGCAAACAAACGTCATCAAAAGGTGAGGACCTAACCAAATATTCATGCGGTTGTAATTGAATACAAGGCGCACACGCCAGGGCTGGGGATGCAAATCCCGAATTTATGACAGCCTCAATTAGGCAGATTTGCATTAATGTAATGTAAGTCAGGCGATGCAACGTGCGCGCCACCTTTCAAGCCGCATTAATACTAAGTGCTTTCTGTGTCTGCCCGATGGCGCCATCTGTTAGCCAGCAGTGCTTAAAATTGGTCTCCCTGCGTCGTTTTTGATGCTTCGTAATGTTTTCATTTAATTTAATTAGTAGGACGCATTTGGTGCTTGCCTCCGATAGTGTGAGGGTGGCCGTCATCCACTCTCACTCCTTATAGTGTTGGTTTGCTTGCTTGCGTGCGGACGCACGGTCCGAAAAGGACGGC